CGGCCCCGCGGGCTGCTCGGCGGCCGGCTCGACCCCGCTGAAGAAGCCCCGCCGGAACTTAGAGCCGCAGCCGGGCGGGGGAGCGGAGGACGCCGAGGAGGAGATGGAGACCGGTAACGTGGCCAACCTCATTAGCATCTTCGGGTCCAGCTTCTCGGGACTCCTACGGAAAAGCCCCGGCGGCGGCCGGGAGGAAGAAGAGGGCGAGGAGAGCGGTCCGGAGGCCGCCGAGCCCGGGCAGATCTGCTGCGAGAAGCCGGTGCTGAGAGACATGAACCCCTGGAGCACAGCCATCGTGGCCTTCTGAGCCCTCGGCCCCCGTGCGGGAAGGAGGTTGAGCGGCGGGCGTCCCCGGAGTGGGGCCGGGCCTCTCCCAGCTGCGAGGACGCCCCAGGGCCGCGGGCGCTGAGCTCGTTGGGGAGACTGGTTGCTGCCGGCCAGCGCGCACTGAACCCCGGGCTCGGCAGCCCTGCTGTACCGAGACTCTCGAGTCGCATCTTGGGACCTGGGAGTTTGAGGCTTATTGAAAGAGGACGTTTGTGAACTTCGTGTACGTGTATGTGTCTGTGTATGTAAGTTTGTCTTGTTGAATTAAGACTATTTTGTCCTTCTGGAATGCACCACCCTTCCCCGGGGCTTCAGAGATTGGGGGCAGACAGGGACTTTCCTGTGCCGGCAGCACAGAGAAGGAAGCGGCTAAAAGGTTGGGGCCGGGGAGTTCCCATTCGTTCTTGGGGGAGGGAGGGACTTTACACACGCCCCTCACATGAAAGCTAGAGCCACACCACGGCCGGGAGTGGCGTTTCCTCACTGGATTTCCTAAGACGAGAGGGATTTAGTCCGTAGTAGAGACGTGGATTCTATCCTTTCTCTCTCCTTGAAGAAACGATTATGTCCTGTGATCACTCTGAGAAAGGGAAATATTAACGGCCCTTTGCTTTTCCGCAGGGGAAAAAAAGCTTGATGAACTTCACAGAAGACTTCAAGCTTGGAAATATGGAGTTTATAGAGAAAAAATATATTTTAAAAAGCTCTAGGTCAGAACACAGTGCTTTTAAGAAGTGTTTAATGAAACAAAGTTTACAGACAGAAGCCCTAAGTGGAAAGACTTTATGGTTTTGTAAATATGGTGACTCCAGTCTTTGTTGTATAAAGGTTGGGGGAGCTGACAAGGCTTTTGTACAGTATTTTCTCCTTGGTTGTATTGATTTTTGTATAAAAATGTAACTTTACGTGTCTAACACGTATTAAATATTTTGAAGCAACTTCACTGCCTCTTTGTAATCATCTGTCTGGTGGGGACGGGGGCGGGGGGAGTGGGCGGAAGGAAACTAAGGCCTGGGCTAGAAAATTGAAGGTGTGGTTCTTAATATCAGTCATTTACAGACTGAGGACATTATTGGCTGACTTTACTTAGTACCAAGAGACACGTTTAAGCCTTTCCGCCCCCAATCCGAGGACTGCTATTAGATACTATTATTAGTGACTTGGCAGTTCCTTGAAACCTGCCACTAAAACCGCCTTTTCTAAAGTCAATTTAGGCCAATTTTCTGTAGCCCAATCTGATGGTGTCTGTTTAACATTTAATTTAAGCACCAACTTTTGAAGCCTTTCCCATCTACAGAAATGTTTTTCACCAAAACTTTATTTTAGTCTCCTGGGTCTTCTTTTAGCTTTGTTATTGGGGGGGGGGGGGGGAAGGGGGGGGGGAGAACTGGCGTTAGAAGTCTATTAGAACCAACATATGAGGAAGCTGAGGAGACTGACTTGTCCAGAGGGTCAGGTGGTCAGGACCACCTCTGCTTTTCCAGTGGGTGGCAGGTGGAAATTTTCAATTTTTTTTCTGTTACTGTATCTACAGAAAATAAATGCACCCATAGAAGGGAAATCGCTTGTGTCAGACCAGTTAAGGAAGGAGGCCAAGGAGGGCCAGGCAAATTTAATTTTTCATTTAGCAAAACTTACTGACTTGCTTTTGTCACTCAAATGGTGACATCAATGTTTTTGTCATAGTAATCACCTTAGGTGATGACAGCAACTAAGTCATCTATTGATTTTACTAGAATTACTGCATTTAAGAGTTTTTTGGGCTGGCTGGTTAAAGCATAGTGCTTATGATACCAAGGTCCAAGGTTCAATCCCTGTACCAACAAGGTACCCAGAAGTTTTTTGTCTAAAGCAAAATGTTCAATATTTGAAAGGTGTCCGATAATTTCTACATCAGAAGCAAACCAGTCAGAGGATGGTGTTTTAAAATATGGTTGTTGGTACTTTAAAAGACGATATTGAGGGGGGAGGGAGAGGGGGATAGGGAGAGATTGGACAGGGGTCATAAAGAATAAGTACAATTGGTGGTGTTGATAACACCAAGGCCATGGGTTCAGATCCCTATATAGGGATGGCC